TGAGCTGTCAGCACAAGCCCAACACGGGGCTCAAGCTCATGAGATCATGACCTGAGCGGAAGTCCTGAAGTCTAACACCTAACCGACTGAGCCAGCCAGGTGCCCCTCTAAAAGTAATTCTTGAGAAGAGGGATCTTGGGTGTGAGGATCTCCGTCTCCCTGCCCACTCCACCCTGTGAGGCTTCCATAAGCCTCCTTCTATAAGAATCTTCTAGTGTGATGACTGTGTCCTAAAGGTCAAGAACCTCTACTCAAACTTCTTTAGGTGTATTTTATTATTTTCATATTTATTTTTGAGAGAGAATGTGAGAGAGGGGGACAAAGGATCCAAAGCAGGCTCTGTGCTGAGGGCACCAAGCCCAATGTGGGGCTCGAACTCAGAAACCATGAGATCATGACCTAAGCCAAGGTCGGACGCTCAACCAACCGAACCACCCAGCTACCCCTGGGTGTGTTTTAAACCCACCTCATCCCTGACTGTAGTACTTTCTCTAGGTTTATTCTCTCCTGTTATAAAAGAAAACTATCTTTGATTAGTATCCCATTCAAGATTCAAGGGAGCTCCCATATCCATTCTTGGAAGTGAGAGCCAGTGTTGGTTACCCGAGCGTCCCCCCAACTTCCATCCTTAGGGGTCAATATCCTCTAACTATAAAATGGCTTAAGTCCCCATCCTACAAATAATGTCAAAACCAGCAGCCCCTGCCCCACATCTCAAGGATGTGGGACTGAGGAAAATTTCCTTTTTCTTCATTAGCCCGCGCTTCCTGGATTCTCAAGTTCAAGTATGTCTGCCTTCATGCTGCTGTCTCCTCTCAGTTCTGCATTAGCCCAGGCAGCTCCTTCCCCAGATAAGATCTTATGTTTAGTAGACTTTTATACTTTGGTGGTTACAGAGAGGGTCTCATCTCAGCCTAGCACAGCATATGGCCCAAAATTTAGACCTAAAATATCCACTATCTCTGTTCTTAAAAGACCTTGAACAATTTTCACCATCAGCAATTTCTCGGAATTCAACATCTCCCACTCTTGGCCTTGTGTCACCTGCCTCTCGGAAAAGTAGCTCTCCTCCTCCTTTGTGAGGCCCCTCACCCCCTCCCGGAGTATCCAAGGAATTCCCCAAATCCTAATTGATTAAGGAGAGCAATTTAGGTTTTTTTTTTTAATTTTATGTATTTATTTTGAGAGAGAGAAAGAATCCTAAGCAGGCTCCCTGTTGACAGCGTGGAGCCCGACACGGGGCTCGATCATGACCTGAGCCAAAATCAAGAGTCAGATGCTTAGCCGACAGAGCCACCTGGGCACCGCACCCCCTCCCCCCTTTGAGAGCAATTTAGTTTTTTGGTTTTTTTAATGTTTACTTATTTTGAGAGAGCGTGTGAGCGAGTGGGGGAGGGACAGAGACAGAGGAGAGAGAGAATCCCAAGTAGGCTCTACACCATCAGCACAGAGCCCCACTCGGACCTCAATCCCATGAACCGTGAGATCATGACCTGAGCCGAAATCAAGAGTCGGTGGCCCAACTAACTGAGCCTCTTAGGCGCCCCAAGAGATAGCAATTTAGTTCTATCTTTCCTTACCTTCTGCCTTCCAAGCCATTCCCTGAGGCCTATTTTCCCACAATTAAAATGACCAGTAAAACTCTTTTGCAAAACAAAATGCTGTTTGCTCCCTAAGAGGGATTCTTCTTCGGCACCAGGTTTTAATCCATTTATGGGGTTTTGAATAGATTTTACATTAATAAATTCAAAATGGGTAAAAGGATATGCTTTACAAAAAAAAACAAAAACAAAAAAAACAGACAAAACACAACTCCTTGTCACCCAGTCATTCAGTTCCTCTACCTGAAGCAGACTAGTCGACTATGGAGAAAGGGGACATTTCTGGAAGGAAGCTGGAATCATTCACACACTCAAAGGTACAGTTGAACAACGAATCCTGGACATAGACAAAAATGTATCTCTCGTCTCTAATCTTTTCTATGTGTTGGGATCATTCTTTCAAACCACTTACCCCCCAAAATGGGCGACAAGACTGTTCCTGACTCATATATGTATAACTTCACCAGAGAGGAAAATAACCTGTCCTCTCAGCTCCAGTTAGAAAGACCCCAGGGAAGAACTCTGACTGCTCCAGCTTAGGTCATATGGCCACCCTTGGCTCAATCACTGTGGCCAGGAGGCTAGGGTGCTATGATTGGACTTGAGTCAGGTGCTTCAGCAATCACTGTCAGCAGCCTGGAATTGTCATGCAACAGGACGGCACCACCATTTCCAAGTACACATGGCTGGAGCCTAGGGAGGAGCCGTCCCCAAAGAGAAGAAGGTGCATCTATGCCCAGAAGAAGAAGGGAAAAGTGCTAGACTGACAAAGTTAACAGATGTCCGCTACATGTGGACACACTGTGTGTGTGCACATGTGTGTGTGTTAACTGTCCACTGTGTCCGTACACACATATATGGGGGCCAGAGGGTGGCATGCAGTTTGAACCAAGATGTATTCATTCGAGAATTCTCCCTGACCTGGAAGCCTAGCGTGCTCCCCAGGAGGGTGTTTATGAGCGAGAAGGGGCACACAAGACATTGTCTCTGCCATCTAGAGACTTGCAGGATAGTAAGGGGAGCAGAATAGAAAGGGTCTCAACTAAGTGGAATAAAGCCACGGTCTATAACCTTTCTTGAGTAAAAAAAAAAAAAAAAAATGTTTGGGCATATACGCACATATATATGTTAATATGTAGGCTATAAATCATATGCATGATAGAAAATTTATTTTTTTTTAATTTTTTTTTCAACGTTTATTTATTTTTGGGACAGAGAGAGACAGAGCATGAACGGGGGAGGGGCAGAGAGAGAGGGAGACACAGAATCCGAAACAGGCTCCAGGCTCTGAGCCATCAGCCCAGAGCCTGACGCGGGGCTCGAACTCACGGACGACCGCGAGATCGTGACCTGGCTGAAGTCGGACGCTTAACCGACTGCGCCACCCAGGCGCCCCTATGATAGAAAATTTAAAGGACAAGACATTGCTGAAACATTATCTCAAACTTAATTTGTATTATAGGTGATTCAAAGGATACTTTTTTCTGTCACTAGAAATGAGGGGGTGGGTGAGATAATGTCTAAGGTCACCTTCAGCTCTGCATATTACATTCATATTTTACAGATGTAGAGATGAGTATACTAAGAGAGATGAATATACTAAGTATATTTTCAGACATAGAGGTGAATATACTAAGTATATTTTCTTGGTTCCTTTGGTACCACTGCCATCAATGAGAACAATTATGAGCTTTATTTAAACGTTTATTTAAAGGCCTGTGTCAAGATGTGAGTGTCATTGGGAAAGGACAAATAGGAAGCTTCTAGGAGACCAGAGAAGACCATTAACCTTGGTGAATTCATTGCAGCTCTAAGCTTGGACCCTGCCAAAGCACAAATGTACCAAACAGGTGAGAAATCACCTGTTACTGAATGTTTGCTATAGACCAGGCATTCAGCTATATCAACACTTTACTTACACACGTTATTCCTTTTAATGCCGTGAACAACCCTCAGGTGTGGTGTTTGTATTCCCAGTGGAAAGATACTAATTTGTGTCAGCCTTCCCTGCATGTGGTTGCCCAGTGGCTACATGGGAACCTGCCTCATCAGACTGCCCGGTGAACACAGCAGCAAAATAGAGAGTTCTAGAACTGAACCGCTTGGTGACCCCAGTATCCTATGTCCTGACATGTCTGTCTCCACAATCATGATCCATTTTTTTTCTGGGTCTAAGTTTTTGTTGGTCTGAGAAAGGAGGTCAGACCCTAGACGTATGTCAACAGCTGACTAGTTTCCTCGGCTTGACCACCCTGTTGATCTGGTTAGCATGGATATCCTACCTTGTCTTGGAGGTGAGTTTATCTATTTCTATTCTCTGATTCACCATTCAGTAACCCAGAGATCTTTATGAGCACATCGGTGTGCAAGAAATGGCATATACTGTGGAGGGACATTTTAGTGAGAGACGTAATTACCATGTAAACCAATGACAAGATGAAGTTACTTCAGGTAGTGATCATGCTGTGAAAAAATTTGATCAGAGTATCAAGATTGTGTGTTGGGATGGGCTATGGGCAGGGTGGACCGAGAATGTCTCTCTAAGGAGGTAAAGTCTGAACTGAGCCCTGCATGCTAAGAAGGAGTCAGTTATGTGTGAACATAATTTTCTGTTGATCTTAAGAGTTTAGTTTTCTGGGGAAGAGCCTCAGGCCTATAATTCAAAGTGGAAGTCCATTGCCTGTCTCTATAGAGACAATGTGGTACAAATTAGGCAAGTATGGTTGCACTAGTGTTTTGTATTGGGTGATCAAATGGAAATGCAGCCGTGCTTTCCAAATCAAAATTCCAAAGACCTCAACTAACAGTAACATGTGGACTGGATTAAATACTTGAAATCAGGGCCATCTTGGATTTTCCATGGCATGTGATTACCATAGTTAATAGGATACAGTGAGTTGGCCTGGGCACCTTGACCCCACACTGTTGATGTGGAAAGTGTATTTCTAGTTTCTAGAAAATCAAATGACAGATGAACTAATGGAATAAAACCACTTGCCATTTGGGACCGTATCTCTTTTCCCCGACGAAATGACATACTCTTCCCTCAGAGCAAAGTCTGACTTGTATACATTTTTATATCCCTCAAAGCACCTGGCCCAGCGCTCGGCACGTAGAAGAGGCCCGCGTTCGCCTTAAATTCTGAACCTACCCTTGACTTGGAGGGACAGAGCCCTTCTAAGGTCGCACAGTCTGGGCCCAAGGGCCGAGCTGCTGTTCACCCTCCGGCCGCACGGAGGCGCCCTAGAAACCCCGCGCGGTGAGGACGAGCGGCGGGAGCAGCTCTTGGCGCCGGAGGGCCGAACTCCCACAATGCACCTTGTATCAACACGGCACTGGTGGCGGCTTCGAGGAGGGGCAGGGAGCGCCCAGGGGACCGGCACGCAGCCCGAGGGTTATCAGGCGGGGCCCGGGTGTTGAGGGGCGACTGGCAGCCATGGCGGAGTCGGAGCCTACTCGGGTAAGGGTCCTCCTGGCACCGACTGGCGGGCGCGTTCGGGATGGCGGAGCTCCTGGCCGGGGCGGGGCTTCGAGGTCCGGACTCCGGTGGGGCTGGGGGTCCGGGGGGCTCCCGGGCTGCTGCTGGCGAACGCCGACCTCCTCCCGCGACCCCCGGGCTCTGCCCTCCCCCTCTCCGGCTCCTTCCGCGTCGGGCCGGAGCCCCAGCGCCACGCACCGTCGCCGAGAAACTTCTCCGAGGCTTGTTTCGTGTTCTTGGATTTGCGACCGTCCCCACACTTTTTCGTCATGCGCTTCCAGGCTGGAGAGGTGGCGCGCTTTGGAAACCCCGGGTCGCCATCTCAGCCAGCGAGCGCGCGTGGTGTCCCGGGACCCCAGGACTCAACGGCCTCCCCGCATGTTCTCAGCTTGGTGTGTTTTGCTCGTTCTTTCTGTCACTCTCTCCTGCTGCAGACTTCTGTACTTGGGTCGCAGCCACAGGGTGAAATCAGGCCGGGCTTCCTCCCTTTGGGGACAGGTATTACCCCACAGTGTAGTTGCTGCTTTTGCCTGTGAAGCTCTCGGATCTCTCTCCCTTTCCCCGGTCCCCATTCGCCCCCATTCGTCCCCATTCAGGGGATGTCAAGACACGGAGCTTGGGGGTGAAGAAAATCCCGGTTACGGAGTCAGGAAACTGGGGAACTCAGCTCTCAAATACCCATTTGACTGGTTTTAGGCAACTGTGTTTACACCCTGGGCCTCCCTTTCTTTGGCTAGAGATGGAGAGTTTAGGACTGGTTTACTAGATGATCTCAGAGGATCCTTCTAGCTCTGACATTTTCTTACTAGCGGTTAATTTGGTAACACAAGGAGGTTTGCTCTGGAAAGGACAGAGGGAATTAAATTAGTTTTTGACGAAGCATTTCTGGGTTTAGAAACACTTTTGGAATGATGTGAGATCTTTGTGAGAATTGGGAGCTAAGGAGAGCCTGTGGTGAAAAGTTTACCATGAGCAGGTTAAACTTGCTCCTTTTTGATTCTTGTAGAAGGTGGGTAAGAACTAGGAGGGAAAGGATTGGAAGAGGGAAAGGACTGGAAGACTCGGAGAAGGCAGTGTTTGCTTTCAAGAAGTTACAGTTGAATTGCAGAGACACAAATGTTTATAATATTTGCCTCCTCTGACCCTTTTCATCTCAGCTGTTGTAGTCAAAGACTTGGCTTTTCCTCAAGACCAAATTGGTACTAAAGTGGGGCAGGACGACAAGTTACTAACCTCCAGAGTACTTCTTTCTGACTCGTCAGTGTCAGGGCACCGTTCCATGCGTGTCACCAACAGACCTTGTCAAAAGAGCGTTAAAAGATCCACCAAAATCCCATACCGCCCTTTAAATAACTTAAAGATCTGTCATTGTAGAATGTATTTAAATCGTTTCGTCTGTTCTCAGATATTACCGCTTCAGATGAGGATTCCGTACCTTTCCTTTGACACTGACCAAGTAGGCACCCTGATGAAGACAGCTAGAAACAATGGGGGGGTGGTGTAGGGGGGAGGACACCACTTAAATATATCTGAAATGTAAGTTAATAAAGAATACTTGGAGCCCAAAGATGAGTTCTGAGGCCAACTTGGAGGGCATTTGCTAAACATTCATCTTTGGTGTTTATGGTCCCAAAGGACCTGAAAACCAGGAGACAAAACTTAAGGGGTGGGTGTGTGTGTGTGTCTAAGAAGCTTCCTGCCCCAAATCCTTAAAGTGGAGACTTCAGAGGGCAGCATTCAGCATGAACTGAACGTAAGCTCTTAACTCCCAGCATTACACAGAAAATTGTGTGAAACCTTGGTGCTGGGAGATAGATGCAAGATGTCCCTTGAGAATTTATGGTGACTCTGATATGGGTTTATTGCCTGAATTCATGCTACCTGGATGGTCTAAGAAACCTCAAGCCAAGAATGTAGTTTATATGTACTTAGTTATTATTTTAAGTAGACTCCATGCCCAGTGTGGGGCTTGAACTCAGCTACCCTGAGATCAGGAGTTGCATGCCAACCAGGCATTCCACCCCACCCCACCTCCCAAGAATGTAGTTTAAAGTACTGCTGTGTATCAGAAATAAACACAGATCTTCTCTGGAGGAATCTGTATTTGACTCAGACTTCAAATAATTCCCCTATATAAAATTACAGGAAAATTGAGTTAAAAAAAAAAACAAAAAACCATTACCAAACAAGCAATGAAAACTGTAAGGAAAAGGCAGTAAAAATAATGGACAAAAGTAGACCTTCAAAGATTCTGGATATTGAAATTACATAAGAAAAACATATTAAGGGGTGCCTGGATGGCTTAGTCAGTTAAGCGTCTGACTTCAGGTCATGATCTCAGGGTTTGTGAGTTCTAGCCCCACATCAGGCTCTCTGCCATCAGCGCAGAGCCAGCTTAGGATTCTATGTCCCTCCCCTCTCTCTGCCCCTCCTCCGCTCTCTTGCACATCTTTTTTTTTTTTTTTTTTAAACTTTTTATTTATTTTTGAGACAGAGAGAGACAGAGCATGAGCAGGGGAGGGGCAGAGAGAGAGGGAGACACAGAATCTGAAGCAAGCTCCAGGCTCTGAGCTGTCAGCACAGAGCCCGACGCGGGGCCTGAACTCTCGGACTGTGAGATCATGACCTGAGCTGAAGTCGGACGCTTAACCGACTGAGCCACCCAGGCGCCCCTCTTGCACATCCTTTATATCTTTTGCGCTTTCTCTCTCAAAGTACGTTAAAAAAAAAAAAAAAAAAAAAACAACTGAAATTCCAGAAGGAAGGCGCATGCACACTTAACACTCTGCACTGGAAGCTATGTTTGATAAATAGCTAATGACTGAGGCTATTTAGGACCAATGCAAACATTAATAAATACGTTAGAAACCCAGTGGATCCCAATCAGGATAAACAAAAAAATCTCTACCTAGACACATAATAGTGAAAGTAGAGAATACTAGACAGAATTCTTAAAAGCAGCTAGAGAAGAGATTACCTTCAAATGAAGTGTCACTAGATTCATGGGGTCCAGCTTCTCAACAGCAACAGTGGAAGCCAGACAAACTAGAATGATGTTAGTAAACTGGAAGAAAATAGCTGTGATCCCAGATTTTTATACTCCGTAAAAGATCTTTTAAAGACAAGGATAAAAAAAATATTTTCAGATGGGGCGCCTGGGTGGCTCAGTCAGTTGAGCGTCCAACTCTTGATTTTGCCTCAGGTCATGATCTCAAGGTGGGATTGAGCCATGCATTGGACTTCACACTGAGCATGGAGCCTGCTTGGAATTCTCTCTCTCTCTCTCTCTCTCTCTCTCTCTCTCTCTCTCTTAAAATTAAAATAAAAAAGTATTTTCAGGCAAAACTGCCATGTTACTACCAATACATTCTCAGTAAAGGAAATTATAAAGGGTATACTTCAGGTAAAAGGAAAATCTTCCCAAATGCAAAGTCTGAAAATGTAAGAAAGTATGATGATCCATGTAAATGGGTAAATCTGAACAAATATTGACTAAATAAAACAATCTTTTGTGAGGTTAAAAACAAAGGCAAATTAAAATACATGGAAGCATTGATGTAAACTTAGAAAGAGATCAGAATTCAGTTATTCAAAAGCCTTTATAAGTATGCTTACTGTAATATCTAAGATATTTGCTAAAAGACTAGAACTTGCCTGTAAAACCTGCAAGTTAGAAGGGAGAATAATAGGATAAGGAAAAAAAATCATCTACAAGAAAACAAAGACAATGAAAAGAGAAGAGAAACAGTACAAGGTAAAAATCAATAAAAATAGATCAACAGTTACAATAAATGTAAATGGACAAAATGTTCTAGTTAAAAGGCAATATTTGTCAGGATGAGAAAAAAAAATCCCACTATATAGTTTATAAGAGGTACAACTAAAAGATAAAATTACAGGAATGGTTGAACATAAAAGAATTTGAGGGATGCCTGGGTGGCTTAGTCAGTTAAGCATCTGACTTTGGCTCGGGTCATGATCTCACGGATCTTCAGCTCAGAGCCTGGAGCCTGCTTCAGATTCTGTGTCTCCCTCTCCCTCTACCCCTACCTCACTCATGCTCTGTCTCTCTCTCTCTCAAGAGTAACATAAAAAAAAAAAAAAAAAAAAGAAAAAAGAAAACATACCAAGCTAATATTAATCAAAAGAAAATTAGCTCAACTATATTAATATTCCTAGAGCTAGAGGGGTACTACTACTTTTATAATGGTTAAGACTCAATTTACCAGCTTGATATGACATTTCTAATATTTTGTATCTAATTACATAGCCTCAAAATATATAAAACAAAAGCTGACAGAACTACAAGGAAAATTCACTAGCATAGTAGAAGACTAACAAAACTTTAATTTTTATCAAGCAGAGAAAAAATTAGTAAGGTGTGGCACATCAAATAGAACTTTCTGAGGTTATGGAAATACTCTGTTTTGCACTGTTAAATATAGTCACTGTTCATATAGTCATACACATATATATGGCTATTAAGCACTTGAAATGTAACTAGTATGGCTGAGGAACTGAATTTTTAATTGAGTTTCTGTTAATTTAGATTTAGATAGCTATGTGCTTCTAGTGGCTGTCGGACAGCACAGATAGAGATTTTTTTAGCCATATATCTGTCAATATATAATATCAATATACAGGCATACCTCAATTAATTGAGCTTGGCTTTGTTGCACTTTGCAGATACTTTGTTTTTTTACAAATTGAAGGTTTGTGGCAACCCTATGTCAAGTCTCTCAGTGCCATTTTTCCAATACCACTTCCTGACTTCGTGTCTCTGGGTCACAATTTGGTAATTCTCACAATATTTTGAAGTTTTTCATTATTATTATGTTTGTTGTGAAGTTCTGTGACTGGTAATTATGACTTGCTAAAAGTTCAGGTGATGGTTAGCATTGTTTTTTGCAATACAGTATTTTTTTTTAATACTATTTTTGAGAGAGCGCAAGCAAGAGAGGGGCAGAGAGATGAGGACAGAG